TTGGCTTTCTAAATGTGATTGGTTTTGATGTTAAGGAGTATGGTTGCACTGGGACAAGCAGTCAAGAATGACGGTACATACATGCCAGGAGCTAAAAACATGTTGAAATTAGTAAGTCTTTTAGATAAATAGCACAAAAGATTGCGAGTGATCAATTTAGATATACGACTGTGAACTAGAAGTTTCGGCGCTGCAGTATGCTGGTCAATGCCCTAAGATTGGATCCGAGGAGAGCTCAAGAGGTGAACAGGGAGAGAACTTTTACCAGCAAACCGAAACCGGGGTGGACTTTCTGAAAGCCGCCAAAAAGGTAAAATTCTCAATATTATATAGTGTTGTGCTACTGCATAGAATTGGAAAGATAAGATGCTACTCAACTACAGTCTAGTCGCCAGTGGTACTCAGTTGTCACTGTATATCCTGGCCTTGGAAAAGCCGCAAAATATCGTGCTAATCACGTGGGAACTCCGATCATAACGTTTACTCAAGTAAGTATATGGTCAATAAACTAGAATGACACATTTACGTTTAGATGGTGTGGGCTGTGACAAGGAGAATGGGTTGTTCAATTGTACACTGTCCACCTCTCTTCACGTCTGTCTGCCGATATACTCCAGCGTAAGTTGTCTATAGGATGCAACAAATGTTAAGATTTACATTGTTTAAGAGGTAATGTTGTTGGTGAGACAGTCTACGATCCAGGAGAAGCCTGTGCAGCTTGTCCTTCTGGAACTACGTGCAACGCGGCTATGGGCCTATGTAGTTAAAAATGATGCGAATGATATTCTCAAGATTGTTAACAAAACATAAATGTTCACGAGATTTTTTTTTGAAACTTTTGCTCTATAAAATGTCACAGAGTTGTTGAAAAATACCAAATTTAATCTTTTGTCTGCATACGTACTTCGAGGACGACGGCCTTGTGCACTGCGGTAGCACTACTACACGTGAATTGACGGTCAGCCTATCATGCTTGCAAATAACAGTCGTGATTCTATACATATAATAAAA